CCCAGGCCATTGACCTATAGCTATTGGTTAGTGGCCCAGGTACATGACCCCCGCCATTGCTACACTTACATACCTACAGATTATGGGGGAGGGGCCCTAAATCCTAGCCTGAGTGGATGACAAAGGTCCAGATGAGAAATAACGCCCCGGTCCCATGGCTGGGAAAAGCATCGCCGGTCTTCTGAAGACCCACTAGCTACATTAGCCCAAAGAGAGCTGTTCCCCTGGTCGGCAGAAATGGTCTGTCTGGAACTCCTGGCTCTGGGCAGCAAGAGAGTTTCAGCTGCGCCCCAGAGCACTGTTCTGGGAAGGACTGCTAAGCAGAGAGGGGGTCCCTCTATCCAAGAAGGGACGAGCTTATTTGGATACAGGCTGGCTAACCTAGTGAGGAGGGCTTTGAACTAGGTTCAGGGGGGGCAGGTGACCAAAGTCCACAGGTGAGAGAGAATCTGGGGGAGCATGGGCTATTATGGGGGGAAATCAAGTCAGAATCTTAGATGTCTGTGTGCTAATGCAGAAGTATAGGGCACAAGCAGGAAGAGAGTGAAATGCTGGTTAATAACTAGAGCTGTGATGTAGATGGCTTCACAGAGACTTGGTGGGATGATACACACGACGGGAATATTGGTGTAGAAGGGCAGCGCTTGCCCAGGAATGACAGCCAGGGGAAAAGGAGGAGTGGGTGGAGTGAAACACTGAAGACAGCCATCAGGGCAGGCCTTGTGGGATGCTGGTGGAAGCCAGTTCTCTCGACAAAACAAACAGCAGAGTCCACCCTGGCTCTTTGTTGATAGTAACAGGAGGGGAAAAGACAAAAGTCTCTCGCAGGAGGGAAGTTTTTTGTTACCAAACTGGGTGTTTTTTCCAACAAACGCCACATCGCAATGTAGACGCTCTCGTTCTCCAAAAGACAGTTTCTGGTGACAGAATGTGCCAATGTAGACCAAGGCCAATGGGAAAATTACCCTGGTAGATGGGGTGAGTGGGCAACATGGTAGGGAATCAGCAAAACCAGTTAATGCAGAGGGATCCCTTACGATGATAACTGCAGTTCTTTGAGAGCATCCCCTCTGCAGATTCATTCTTGTGTAGAGCAGTGCAAGTATCTGGGGGTTCATTTTGCTGATTTGTTCCAAAAAATTGGAGAGGGATTTGCTTTGGGGTGCTCCCAAATGAATTTTCGAAATGTTTGGTGAATGAACAAACAAAAAGTATTTTGGATCAAGCAAAACTATAGTTTCAGTTTAAGGCATTTATAATTTTTAGCATTTACATTAATTTTCTTTAAGAACATTTTTAAACAAAAAATCATTTCAAATTGAAAGGTCTAATTTTCAGTTTTAAAATGGTGAAACAAAACTTTACAATTCTTTGTTTGAGGCTTTAATTCACCAGAAATACTTCAGTGAAATCTTCCTCAATTTGCAAACTATTTTGGTGGACCCGAATCTGCATTTTTCAGTGGAGAAATGTTGGCAGAAACATTTCACTCAGCTCTCCCCCCATGGGATACAGCCATTCCGTCCCCTCCGATGACCAAACAAGGAATATAATTATGTACATAGAAATGGCCACAAAAATATTTGTCCCTCTAAGGAGACACTTCAGGACAGGAATGAACAAAGAGCACACCGTTGCCAGTGGGTAAATCAAGACCATGCCAGCTCTTATTCCAACCACCCTGGCTCCAACGGGAGGAGGGTGAGCAAATGAGACTCCTGCAAGGTCCTGAGAAGAGATTAGCAATTGCCCCCTCTCTGCGCACACCATACAGCGGGATGCTCGCCCTTGGGACAGGAGTAGCTCAAGATACACCCAATGCATAATACCGCCATAACTTGAAAAGAGAGGGCCAAGCACCAGCAAAGAACGAATCGGTGTGCCTGGGAAGAACTGGTTTCCCTTTGCTAATTACAGCCATGTTGCTTAGCGCTCTAGGGCAGAGATCTGAAGTTCTGTTCATAGCAGAGGGGGTGGGGGATTGTTTTTTCCCTTGCTTTCTTTGTTTAGTGTGTAGGTAGCAAGTGTCTGGAAGGGTTGCTTGGCTGGCAGCATTAAGGAAGCCTCTGCTGCACAAAAGCTTAAGTGTTCTTTCAGAGAAGGGTTTGTTTGATCATGGTTTTTTTATGAATTGTGCGATTTATTTTAATTTACCTAGGTCTCGTTTGGCCAAAGAATGAAATTCTGAAAGGAGTCTTTAAAGAACAAGCAAGCAACTGGTTCAGGTTGGGATTCTAACTGTGTTCACTCCCGTTATCACCCGAGGGAAGGCAAAGAGAAGGGCACTTCTCTTATACTCAATAGTGATAGAAATGTAGCCGTGTTAGTCTGGTGTAACTTAAACAAAATACAGGACTATGTAGCACTTTAAAGACTAACAAGATGGTTTATTAGATGATGAGCTTTCATGGGCCAGACCCACTTCCTCAGATCAAATAGTGGAAGAAAATAGTCACAACCATATATACCAAAGGATACAATTAAAAAAAAGAACACATATGAAAAGAACAAATCACATTTCAGAACAGAACGGGGATGCGGGGGGAGGGGAGGAAGGTAAATGTCTGTGAGCTAATGGTATTAGAGGTGATAATTGGGGAAGCTATCTTTGTAATGGGTAAGATAGTTAGTGTCTTTGTTGAGACTGACACGTAGAGTGTCGAATTTTAGCATGTATGACCGTTCAGAGGATTCCCTTTCAAGAATTCTCTTCCTTCGACTAGTCTTCATTTGAGGCTGGCTGGAGGTCAGGCGGCTGCTCTGGGGGATGGGGCAGGCTAGGCTGGACTGGCTTGCCGTCTGTCTTCTTGCTAGGTGCAGGCGACACAGACCAGACGGGGAACCCATCGTCTCAGGTCACGCTAGGGGAAGGCCTTCTGGGCAGTGGCTCTTGCTTAGAGCAGCATGACTGGGGCAGGGGCAGGGGCTGAGAGTCCTGCTCCGCGGAGGGGCAGCTGCAGGCCCAGCTGCTGGGGTGAAGGTAGGCGGTGGAGCCTTTCCCAGCCCCAGTGGGGCTGAGCTCAGACATTCCTCTCTCTCTGGGCATGGGGGCTGCCGGGTTGAGCTGAGCCTGAGAGAGGAAAACCAAGGGAGCAGCAAAACTGCCCGGCATTGTGGGTCCTTTGTACCAAGCCGCGGGAGAGGCAGGTACTGGGGGAGCCGTGGCTCAGTGTCTGAGCGCCATCGAGTGGGCCAAGGGGCCTTTGGCTCCTCTTGCTTCTCCTGTTCTCACATCTGTCTTTTCCCATCACCTTCTGCCTCTCCAGCCGCCCTCAGTCGTCACGCAGGGGCGCTGTGGGGGAAAGTGCCTCTCTCCCCAAGCCCAGCTGCTCGGCTGCAGCAGGGTGGGAATTGACTCTGGAAAGTCCCTCTCCTTGCGGGTAGCAGGACCTTCTGCCCTCCAGGCTGGAAGGCGACTGGTGGTAACAGCAGCTGGGGAGCAGGGGCAGGCAGCTGGGGAAAAACCAGCCACAGGTCAGGGTGGGATTTGCCTATTGTCTGTGGCCGTGAGAAAGGCGTCTCTTTGGTACAAAGAATGAATGCCCTCTCCATCAAAGTGGAGCAGAGCACCCACGGCTGCACAGAGGCCTCCGCTCCGTACTGTCAGGCTAGCGGCGTTGCCTGCAGATTAGCCCTGCTAGCTGAGCCTCGTGCCTTCTGCCTCCATCTCTTCTTTCTCCTCGCACTTTTGCTGCTTGCGTCTGAGCTCAGGGTCACCCCTCCCCTCCCCACCTCTCCCCTGCCTTTGATTTCTCTCCCTTCCTTCCAGCTCCAGAAACAACAAAGGTGCAAAGGGATTTTGTAGCAGTGCCCACTAATGGGGCAAAGGAGTGAGAAACCGTCCAGATTTTGTGAGGGCTTCTCAGTCTTCAGGTTCCCAGCCTTCCTTCGGCTTGTAACGGTCATCCTCTGAGTGCTGATTCTGCCCTAACCCCACCTGTTGGCTCCCTTGGTTATTTTATTTATATCATTTGCTTTGTCTTGTCTTTTGGGGCATGTCTAGACTACATAGCTCCATCGACGTTTCACGAGGCATAAAGGATCTGATGACAAAGGGTTCTGGGGTCGGCAGATCCCTGTCTAGACTGCTGTGCTGTGCCGGAAAACATCTGATTGGCACAGTGTGGCAGCCATTTTGATTTAAATGAAGCTGCGATTATTTAAATCGCAGCTTCATTTCCCTTTGTCGTCCTGCCTCATCTACATGGCTCCACCGATGGAGCCATGTAGTCTAGACGCACCCTTGTTGTCCTGGAACAACAAGTGATTTTTATCCCATTAGCTTCCATTTAGCTTGCCGGTGTAGCACACAGTGTTCAGCCTTTCCTTGCCTATGCACACAAGCACAGCAGCCAGTCTAGAGGAGAAGAAAGCAGCTGGCAATTTTAAAAGGACACATGTCACCAAAGGGCAGCTTAGGCGACATCGGGAGACCTGGAAGAGTTTAGTGGCCCTACCTACAAACTGACCAGACAGTGATTGAGTTGGGACAGTATTGATCTATCATCCCAGCTGAGCCTCACAATTTCATTCGAACGCTTGTAGAGCGAGGACTGAGCGCCAAGACTCTTGACTTTGTTTTCCAGCTCACCACATTGGCCTGACCACTCCACACCTCACCAGTCTGTAACACAGAAATCATCATCCTCTATGTCATTGGGAAAGCTGTTTTCTGTACTTAGACTGTAAACCTTTGGGGCAGAGGCCATCTTTTTGTCCTGTGTCTGTACAGTGCTTAGCACGATGTGCTCCTGGCCATTAGCGAGGCTCTGAGCTGCTACCACACTGCAGAGAAATAATGGTGATGGCAATTTCAGAGCCTCTGACAGAAGGTACCGTAGACAGGAAAGTATGAGGACAAGTGTTTGGCTCCACATTTCGTTTAGTCTTTAAAAATTGTCTTCTGGATTATAAAGAGCCGTTGCCTTTAATGGCCATTCTGTTGCCAAGGAAACAGTTGTCACTGTTATTTTTCTGCTTAACGCTCTCAGAGCGTACTCCTCAGTACTTACCACACACTGCTGCTGGAAGAGTTGTGCTGCCGAGAATAGATACCGCTGCTCTACAGATTGATGTTCTGGCAAGCTGTTAGATGCCATGTGAGCTGGAGCTGCTGTTAAGCCAAAGCAGGTGTGTTCATTTCAGCTTCATTCATTCCCCTGTTCAGTCACCCCTGTCAGCTAAAAGGCAAAGAATAAACCAGGGAAGGGAGCAAGTTTCTGGAGCATCCAACAGGTAGTAAGGGCAAGGACAGCACCAAAAAACAAACAAAAGAAAGTTCAGATTTAAAAACGGAGTAAAAACTTCCCCCTGCCATTGACTGGTCTGCAGCCTGCATATGTGTGTGTAGCCAGGGCTGGCTCTAGGCACCAGCAAAACAAGCAGGTGCTTGGGGCGGCACATTGCCAGGGGCGGCATTCTGGCCAGAGGAGGAGCAGGCAGGGAGTCCCGTGGAGGCCGCCCCGAGCTGGGAGCCCCGTGCCCCGCTGCTTGGAGCCTGTGCCTGGCCCTGGGAGCTCTGCATGGGCAGCCCCGAGGCCCGGCCCTTGCTGGGGCACTTCCTGGAGGGCGGCGTGGGTTGGCGGCTGCTGCTGCTGAGCCTGGTGGCCTCTTCTTCGCCTCTGAGTGAGTGCGGCCCTCCCTCCCCGCCTGTGTGCCCCCGCACTGGCCACCCTCCCTCCTGTGTACCACCACAACTCCCCCTCCCCCACCTCCCGCCCATGGCTCCCTCCTGCCTATGTACCCCCCCAACTGTGTTCTTTCCCCTGCAACTTCCCTGCCTATGAGCCCCCCTTGCCCAGCTATCCCTTCCTCCCCCCCCAGCCTGTGTGCCCCTGCCCACTGTCCTGCGACCCCCCCAGTCCTTCCCCCCTTTCTTCTCCTCCCCCAGCTCGGCCTCTGCCCAGCAACCCTGCACCCCACCTCCTGGCCTACTACAACCCTGCTGGGACCCTGTCTCCTCTTCTCACCCCCCTCCCCACCCTGCCTCCCTGCCATGCATCTGGATCCCTATCTCCTATCTGGCCCTCTAAACATTCCCCCCCACCACCCCACTCTTGGGGCCCTGAACCCTTCTCCCCCTGCCCCGCCATGAACCCAGCCCCCTTGTGCTGTGTCCTGACCATCTCATCCCTGCCTGGGACCCAGGTGATTCTCCCTCTCCCTTTGGCCGAGGAAGGAGAACTCTGGTGTTCCCAGTGCCCGTGTCCCCAAGTCCCTTCCTGTCTGGGGCTGGAGAGCTTTATTAAAATTGGAATTGTGATCCCATTTAAATAGGCTTTGTTTTAAATAATAGACCTTTAAAATTAAATTAAAAATTGTAATGGCCTAAATTTATCATAACCTATTTAAAAAACTTATGAAGTAATTTTAAAAATTAAATAGTACATGTCTCCTGTCAACTTTTAAAGAAATTCTACCAGTTCACTAGTGTAAGTTGCTGTGTAGCACCCAGAACCAGTGTTTACATCAGCAGTAGCTTCTTCTGCAGGTGAAGAGAGAATGTTTTTATCGCTTTGGTTTATTTAGCTAGTTCAATTCAATGATTAGTTCATTCCGAGAGTTGATGAAGCAGAAAAACTTGTTTTCCTCTTCTCTCAGTAAAAAAAATGGTTATGAGAGCATTCTAACATCTTAAAGAACATGATGACTAGATTTGATCTGTTAAATTCACTAAGGATATTTTCTTTGTTTAATAAATGAATTTTAGATGCACAATGTGTTTGGATACTTTTTGTTATGTGTCCTTCACATTTAAGGTAGTTTTATTTCATACAAAAATTAATGCTGGTTTTGTTTATTTTAAATCGAATTTCTGTCCAGACAGAAGTAGATGCAAATCATATGTTTTTAAAAAAGTAGCCCCCACTTAGCAAATAATAAATGGGGTAAAATCTGTTTCCTAAGTGTTCCTATTATACACCATTTGTAATAGAATAAAAATGTAAAAATTAAGAATATGATTACATGTAAATTACACAATTATTTGGGCATTTATTTAGTTGGTAGCTGCACTGGGTGTATTTTCCTGGTTAGTAAATAGAAGCACCAAATTTGGCAAAAAGGTAATATTTAGTTGTAAATCAACATGTTTTAAAGGTTGCTAATTAATAAGTCTCAACCGTCTTTTAAGAAAATATTTTAAAAGTATAACTTAAATGATTAATTGCTCATTTAAACCAAGATTTTCTGCTTTGCAGTTTAAATCATGATTAAAATTAGAGATTTAAATCAAAGCTATTTAAATCAAGCCACGCTGCTTCAGAGGCTGTTTGGTCCGTCCCTGAAGGAGAAAGCATAGGGCTGCGCCCATGGAATAGGTCCTAGGCTAGTGGGGTTTTGTTGTCTGATGCCTGTCTTGTTCTGGACAGTTGAACTGGGGAGTTGAAACAAAAGTTCTCTTAAACCCTTTGAACTGTCTTATTGTATAGTGAGGCTGATTCTTGTCCATGGACACCAAGAGTTGGGCAGGTTATGTGTTGGGGTTGGAGTCTGATTATAAGGCTTCTAATAATAAAATCCCTTTGCAGAGTGAGGAGAGGGACCGGGACTCCAGCACTAGGTGATGTGAACAGCTGCATGCTTTGGAAGTCTTTAACTGACTTGCTGTGGATGAACCTGCCCTCCCATTGTTCTCTTGTGTGGAGTCCCTGGCACTCTCCTAGGAGATGAAAATGACCCGGGGTATGGACTTCCCCCAGAGCACTCACCCCACCCCCTCAGGAAGCTGCACAAGCTGCATTTGCACGTGCACCCCCAGCAAGCTGCACAAATTGCATTTGCATGCACAACCTCCCCAGACAAAAAAAAGCGGGAGGGTGGCCAAAAATTGTTTTTGCTTGGGGTGGGAAAAAACCTAGATCCGGCCCTGCGTGCAGTGTTGTGGCCACATTGTTCCCAGGATTTGAGAGCGACACGTGGGTGAGGTCATATCTCTGTTGGTGAGAGACAAGCTTTCGATATACACTGAGCTCTTCTTCTGGCCTGGGAAATGTACTCAGTGCGTCACAGCTAAATACAAGGTGTAGCCATTGTTTAGCTTAAGTAGTTAATGCATGTTTCAAGGGACTGTTCAAGTGAAGTGGCCTCCAGTCATAGGGAGAAAGGAAGGGAGGAGCTTGTTAAGTAGGTTGTAGATAGTTGTAATAAGCTATAAATCCAGTGTCTCTCTTCAGTCCATGAGCTTAATGTTAGCAACATTATGCAGTTAAGCTCTGCAGCTCATCTCTGGAAGGAGTGTGCTGGTTTCCTTTGAGGGTGGGGACAGGGAGGTCAGATGTGGAGTGATCAATTTGTGAGAAGTGTTCACCTGCCGGTGACATGGTGTTTTTTTATCGTTTTTCTCTGAGAGTTCATTTGCAAGAGCAGTGATTGTTTGGCTTCACCCACATAGCTGTTATTGGGTCATTTAATGCACAGGATGAAGTACATACATTGTGGTAGGCCCGTGGATCTTGAAAGGTATGTTGTGGCAGCTGGTATTGATCATTAGACCAGTGGAGATATTTCTTCAGGTTCTGTGTCGGTTTCTTTCCCCCTTCCCGTCCCTTCCTCGTGAGTGTTAATGGGCTGCTTCACCTTGAAAGTGCCCTTAAAATATGAGCTAACTTCTTTCCCATCTTGTATTTAGCTCTGAGTATGTTTTTCCATACTTGATTAAGTTTACGCTTGAAAGTTTGTCTTTGAGGCCATGTCTACACTGAGAGATAAGGTCACATTTATTAAGGTTGACATTTTAGCACCCGATTTTGTAAAGTCGGAGGCACATATCTTCACTGTGTGCAACAATTGGACGTAGTTTGCAGTAGCATGTCCCCAGAAGGGTGGCTCCTGTCAACTTTGAGAGTGATGCACGGTGGGTAGCTATCCCCCTTGCATTCTGGGTTATGTTCCCAGTGCAAAACTGTGGTCTGGGTAGTTCTGGGTACATGTCATCAGCATCCCATAATGCACTGGTCCCCCCCCCCATTCTGCTTGAAAGGAATGGCAAACACTCTTTTCACGCCCTTTTTTCCCTTGTCTATCTGTGCAGATGCCATAGCAGCGTAAGCATGGACCCCATTGTGGATCCCGGTTAGCATCAAAGCATTATGATATTAAACATGGTGCGCCTAATGCTGGAGTATATCCAGAGTGTATCTAGAGTCCGCTGGAATGAGGATGAATCTCAGGAGGCCATGAACAGACTCTTCTGTGAAGCACTTGAATTGAGTGACTGGCAAATGCCAGATAAGTATAGGATGGTGGGACCACATAGTCGTGCATGTATAGGATGATCTGCAATGGCTGCAAAACTTCTGTATGCGTAAGGCCACTTTCATGGAAGTTTGCAAATTGCTTTCCCTCGCCCTGAAATACAGGAATACCAAAATGAGAACTGCTTTGATAGTGGAAAAGAGAGTAGCATTAGCCCTTTGCAAGCTTCCAAAAGTTGGTTGGGCATCAGTTTGGAGTGGGGAAATCTGCAGTGTGGGCTGTTATGACATAAGTAGCCAAGGCAATCAATACCCTTCTGCTACAGAGGGTGGTGACTCTGAGAAATGTGGAGAACGTAGTGGAGGGCTTTGCCACACTGGGGTTCCCTAACTTGGGTGGGGTAATAGATGGACCATGCAGCCTCATCTTGGCACCCAATCACCTTGCCAGGGAGTACATAAATCTCCAGGGGTACTTCTGGATTGTGCTGCAGGAGCTGGTGACTCATAAGGGCCGTTTCACAAACATCAGTTTGGGATGGTTGGGAAAGGTGCATGACATGTGCATCTTTAGGAACTCCTGCCTCTTCGGCAAGCTGCAAGGTGGAACTTTTTTCCCAGATCAGAAAATTAACATTGGAGATGTTGAAAAGCCAGTAATGATCCTTGGTGACCAAGCCTGCCCCTTGCTCCCATGACTCGTGAAGCCGTACATGGACAGCCTAGACTACAGCAAGGAGCAATACAGCTGCCGGCTGAGCAAGTCCAGAGTGGTGGTAGAATATGCTTTTGGATGTTTAAAGGGAAGGTTCCGCACTCTACTGACTAGGTTAGATCTCAGCGAACTAAACATTCCCATTGTGGTGGCAGCTGGCTGTGTGCTCCATAATATTTCTGTCAGGTGGGGGGGCTAAGGTATAGCGACTAGCCAGGGATTTTGAGCCGCCAGACACCCGGGCAATAAGGAGAGCACAGCGAGGGGCGGTGCAAATCAGAGAGGCTTTGACAGAAAGTTTTATGAATGGCCAGTTTTGAGAGTCATGCATTTTGCTCTCAATGAGGTGCCCCCAGGGGCGGCCCATGAGCCTAGGCGAACTAGGCAGTTGCCTAGAGCACCGCTGTCCCAGGCGCCCGATGATGACATCATGGCCGTTGACAGCCGTGCAGGCAGGGGTGCCAATGGGGCGCCAACTGCCGCAGCCGGCCTCGGGCCGCTCCTGGTTGCCCCTGCATTCAGTGTGCTTGCTTGTAAATCTCCCCACCCCCCTTCAACACAAGCAATAAAGAGACTGTTGTTCAGAAATCATGCATTTTTATGTAGGGAACACGGTAGAGGCAGTAAAGGAGTCCAGGGCAGGAGCTTTGGGGGGAGGATCACAGTTGTGAGAACAGCTTTTTGCTCCATGACGCATCCCTGGGGGTTGAGTGTGATTTCAGCAGTGGAACAAGAGGGGATGACATCCTCTGGCTCCACTCAAAAACCATTTTGACTTGCCATTGCAGATAAAACAGTGGGCCACTTCCCAGCCTCCTTTCTCCAACATGCCCCACTAGAGGTTTCAGATGAAGGTGCAAGATGCCATAATTTTTCACTTAAGAGTATCGCCTACACTTGCTACCCGCAGGGGACTTTCTTCCTAGCCCCTTTGTTCAGAGATTGGCCTACGTCTCACGTTTCTCAGCATTGTATTTCTCCCAAATGTTTGGTTGTGGGGATTTTTTTAAACCTAACTAATATAACTGTTTGGCCTCTTGGGAAAACAGTTGCCTGTTTATGAATAATAGTATTTTATTATGTATTTGTATTGCTGTAACAGCTAGGAATCCCACTCAGAGGATAAAGCTGACGATACTGAGAACAGAGGAAGCCCTAAGTGTATGACCTCTGGCTTTTCCAGTGGAAAATCTTCATCAAATGAGCTTTTTTCCCCTGCCCTGATTGATTTCCAAAACTACTGGAAGTAGAGGTAAAATGGACAAAGTTGTGAATAGAGTGGATCGTCTGAGGCATCAGGCGTGGCTACAAGGAACAGTCGCGTCCCATGACGTGTTGACACATACAAAACCATGCTGACTGCCAAGGGAAAGTGAGATCTTACTCAGATGTGGAAAATGTCATTTTCCCAGGATTTTTCTTTCCATTCATAGCTGGAGAAAATTGCATTTAATCCCACAAGAAAACTGCTCAGAGATGAGGGTATCTGATGTGTTACCTTCTCCCTAGGGACAAGGGACAAAGCCTTTATGCTTAAAAACCTTGAGGAAGCTCAGAAATTTGCAAAGACTCAGTTGCAGAAAAATATAATGCGAAGGCAGTTTTAGGACCCTTTTTATGTTAAACAAATGGAGTATGCTGCCAGAATACTATTTGGTAAATGGAAGATATGTTCCTAATCCATTGTCTTATGAATTGCATGATATGAGGTTACCTTCCCTGGTGACCATCTGTAACTAATAGGGAAAAGCATCTGTGATACTTTCATTTCTTTGAAGGCGCTGATTGAGAGCCTGCTACGCTTTTCTTACAGTCTCCAGATTAGGTACTAATTAAAGGGTCTGTTGTGAAACATCATAAATATTCTTTGCATGCAGACAAATGCTGAGAATGCTCAATATCCTTTTACTTTTTGTGGCCCTCTAACGAGACCCCAGTTTGTTAAAGCTCTTCAGTATGTGCTTAAAGCCCTTTGAAGTCAATGGGACTTAAGTAGATGTTTCAAGTTAAGTTTTACAGAGCCACAGACTGCTAGTTAGGAATAAGCTTAATCTCCTACATTCACTGAAGGACTCAAAGACATGATTAATGACTAACAAAGCCCACTGAAAATGTGGGGATGATCCCATGGATTTTGCTGGTTAATTTTAGCTAATATTAAACACAACAAGCAAATTTCGTCGTGTTTGCAAAGCTCCTTCTCCAAGAAATATGATGAGAGGGTAAAAAGAGAAGCGAAAGAGCATTATCAGCTGCCATGTTTTGTTATCCATGCCAGTCAGTATTTCTGTAGGGTTGTAATAATAATGGTTCTCTGATAGCTTTAATGACTGGACCTTTGTTCTCTCTTGCAGCTGTGTCTGTTGAATAACCAGTCTGCTCCCTTTGCCTTCAGTGGGGTGTTTGATGGGGTGTAAGTGCAGTTGAGAATGCTGTTGAAATTAGAAATGCCGTGTAAGTATCCATTTGGCAGCAGATAAATATCCTGTGATACACCCATGGAGTGGGCCCTAGGAAGCATCATTATACACAGACGATCCTAGTTAGAAAACAATTCCTTGGATACAGACATTAAGCAACAGGCAGCCTCCCACTTCATCTCTTTGTCATGCTTTAAGATTCTGTCTATGAAATATCAAGATAATTAACCACCAGGAAAGCTCTCCCAGAGATGGATATTGCTCTAATTCAGGAAACCCCTCTGCATAATCCGAACGCAGGTCGTTGAAAAAAAACCCTGAGTTTAAATAAAGAAAAACAAAACATTAAGGACCCAAGCAACGTTGGGTAAATCTTCTAGTACAGTAATAACCTCCCTTCAACAGAAAGGACACCCACAGTTCTAAAAATGGAGCATAGATTTCAATTTTCAGATGTATCCCAGTTACGCTTAGGGAAGAGCTGTAGACTCTTTCTGCCAAGTATAAAATACCAAACTCAGTGGCTAAATCTGAACATCGTTCCAATTCTCTGTACTAATCCATACTCAAAGGGACTCACTGTTGGACAAGTATATGGTAGTATAGTTACCGCCTGTGTTTCTGATACTATCAATGGACAAGAAAGGCTGCAGGAAGGTCTCAGATCTTTGCTCTAAATACTTCATTAGTTTGTTGCTGAAGATTATGAAGTCACATCTCTAAAACATACTTGCATCAATCTTTAGATGCGCAGTCTGAGTCTTCTGCTTCCTTAAATGCTTGGATTTTCAGACATACATTTTTTAAAATAAATGCTTCAGAAGATCACCTTTATCTAAAATGCACATCTCAATTTTAAGTACCGTACAAAAAACTTATTTCCACAAGTCTTCCTGTCCTTTCTATCTATCCCTGCTGCAGTCTTTTTCCCATCAATCGCCTGTTCAAGAGAACCCTTAAAGGGACAACATTCCTTTTCTTCTAGAGCTGGACCAATGGGTTTCCCTTTCTTTACTTCTGACTATTTGATGAACTGGTTTTAGGAGAACCCTACATCAAAACCAGTACCTTAGTAAGATATAAAATCCTTTGTTATACCTAAGAAATTTGGAAACATATTTTAACATAAATATATTATGAGATTTCGTAAACATGTCTATTGCGATGAAGATAGGAAACACTAATATATTTTTTGCTTTTTCTAAAAGCAATGAATTTGGTTATGAACACACTAAATGGCTCTGACTAATTAATTTAAAATAATGTCTTTGTTTCAGTGCATTAAATATATGGTAATCTGGAACGATTTCTTTATAAATGCTTAAGAGTACATTTAAAATATAAAATCAGCTTAGAAATACTGATTAAGAAAATGTAAAACAGAGTAGGGCT